ACCCAGGCGAGGAGCAAACAATCCACAGTAAGCCTGATTGTCTGCTGAGGACACCATGGGCTGTTCACAAACCAACCAAGCCACTGTGGCTCCTTTTCAGGATGGGTTGTTGTGACATGCAAATACAAGCATTACATTGCAGCTTCATCAGAAGAAGGCATTCACTCAGATCCGTGCAGTGCAAGTGCAGCTCAATGGACATGGTCTCCCATATTTTCTACCTAAGAGCAAGGGAACTTTGTTGGAACGTCTGCCTCCTGCCACTCCATTTCATTCAAACTGCTCGTCATTTCCCCCTTGGCTATTGAGCCATCGAAAGTAACACAGCAACCATCTTGGTATCCATCTCTGGTGCAGTACAAGTTCAGTCCAGTGAATGCAAAGGGCCTATTATCTCTGCAGAATGAACACACATGCATGGACTCCCTGCTATACTGGCTCTCCTATATTTTACCAAAAACCTTAAGGCATGCACCCATCAGGTAACTCCGTGTGAATGAGTCACTGGAACTCAGCAATTTCACACAAAAGCAAAACAACAACATTGTGCTAAATACCAACTTCCTTCCAATTTGTTCTCATCCCAACAAATAGCTCAGTCCCTGCCTTGTAGCTCAGGGATCATCACCCCCATTTGGGTGTATCCTCTCCATCCGTTTTGCTTTAGGCACTAAATTATACAAGGAGGCAGCTATGTAAATCAGGCTGGGAGGAGAATAGTCCCAGGCTTCAGTCAACATGGTCCATAGATGCCTGGCCCTCTCCCTGGAGCAGGAGTGAGCAGTGTGAGTGCCACAAACACATTTGCCTGGCTTTTCTCTTTGGCTCAGTGCCTTTCAGGAGGCTTTTTCATGGCTGAGCAAGTTTCCTAGCAGTTTCAAGGTCATACCAGAAACAGCTGCGAAGGGGGACCAGTGGGGATCAGCTCTTCCATTGTCCTTTATCCAGGACAGTCCTTGTTGTTCGTACCTATCGATGCTAAACCTCTGTTCCGATTCTGGCAGAATGCCTTGTAACATTGGGTTAGTGGACCAAACCACACATGACATGGAGAATGTATAAAGGTTGCCAAACAGCCCATTAGTAATCTGAAAAGCCATTTTTTGCGATTGATTGCAAAGGAAAGAGGGCACTTTAACTCCGTCCCCAGTGAGAATTGTCACCCTAAGCAAACTTCTCCCTTCCATCCTCACAGCCTCCTAGAATGTCAAAAGCAATAACGCAGTTACTCTTTGAGGATTTTTCCTACTTTGTCTGAGCTGGCTGCCTTCTCACAGCCCCACACCTCCCAGTGTTCATTTTGCATCAAAGAAGCCGCCTTTGGGAGTGCCGAGCCAGGTGTCCCGTGCCCTTTAGCATGCACGTGCTTGATTCCTTTGGCCCATATGTGTAGGTGTGAGCAGAAGAGAGACCAGAACAGAGAGTGGTTTTGTTGCAGGAGGTTAAGAATCTCCACACTGGCTCCTTGCCCTGGTTTATGAGGCAGAGAAGTTCAAGAGCTCTTGGTTTTGTGCTAACAAAACAAACCCTGCTGAAAGGGAGAAGAGATAAGGCCAGGTGGGAAGCTGGTAGGGTGAGGGCCAGGCACCTTCAGTGTTGGGGATGGGCCACACCAATCTAAACGAGAGAGGAGGAAACTATCCTTCAAGGTTGTGGCCTTGGTTTGGGACAGGCAAACTGCCTTGCAAGCACCACTGCTCCCTGCATGCGCCCCGTCAGCAACTATTTCCAGCAGAGACACCCCTTGCATGGAAGGAAGGCTGCCACCGTTCAGCACTGGCTCCATCCACAGTTGCACTAACCAACAGAAGGGCTCTTTTATGTATCCTCCCATCTCAAGGGGTAAACGCCGCCAGAGGCCCTCGCCGAGCCCTCCCACGCTGCTTTATGGTACAGTTTCAACACTCCATTTGTTAACTTCCTCCCCACCTGCCCTTGTCTGAACGGTTGTCAGTTTCAGCCTTATGCTCCCATGTAAATACTGCTCAGCTTGTCAGATGAGGACAAGGGACAATTGTAACTCAGTTGTCATTTTAGTTTTTAAAGTAACCTACCAGATCAAATTTCACATTTGGAATCTGGAGGTAACAGGAGGCAACCCATATTTGCTCAGCCTCAGTGCCTCCTCCATTCACAAAAGGGGGCTAATATTGGCCTTCCTTACATGGTTGTTGTAAAGTTTACCAAGATGAGGATGAGGATGTTTATCCCAAGACAATCTTATTGGCATCCCCTCCAGCTGTTAAATGCTACTTCACATTGGGTTACCAAGAAAGATTTTTTCCCAAGGTCAGAGTGGCAGGAAACTTTGGGCTGTTGGGTGTGTGAGTTTAATGTCTTGCCCTCCAGCAGGTGGCTTGGCTCACTGGCTCAGGTCATCTGGAGAAAAATGCCCTCTCTCTGCTTGGGGAACCCCATGAGAAGGATGTGGAGGAAAGGGCTATGGCTCAATGGCAGAGCACAGGCATTACATGGAAAAGGGCTTGTATGTAATCCCCTGCATCTTCAGATAAAAGGATTTCAGTCTGCAATTCTCCAGGAAAGGACCTTGTTGAGATCGGGAAGACCTGCTGCCAATTAAAACAGGCGATGTTGAATGAAATAGCCCTGGAGTCTGACTTTGACTTAGTCTGAAGCAGCCCCTGAAGCCAGCAAGGAGCCAATATTGTTATTGTTGTGAGTCGCCCCGAGGCTTCGGCGAATGGGGCGGCATAGAAGCTTCCTAAATAAATAAATAAATAAATAAATATTCTTTCAGTTTCATATCTGGATTACACACACTCATTGCTCAGTCAGTCTACTTCAGTGATGTGTTCACTTCCTTGTTCAACAGCACATGTGAGCAGCTTCCCAAATGGTGCGCAGTGAAGGAGAGCAGGAAAGTACAAGCTGGGAGAGCCAGACCTGATTGAAAGACTCCCTTTCATTCCCCCCGCACTCCCAATTCTAGGGTATAAAAAATGCGGCTAGTTTCCCTTGAAACAGTGCCTAACCAACTGGAAGTGGCCACTGATAGTAAGCTGATGATTCTTTGTAAGCTCACATAGTGTACGTTATTCAGATAGTGAGCTATTTTCTTCCTTTCCTTAATAAATCTTTAAAAAAATCTGGATCCTAGCACTGAATGGGCATTTCAAGGCCCTGTGTCCCACCTGCCTGCCAGAAAGCTCCTGCCCCTGCTACAGCCTGGTTTAGACTGGGCTCTGCCTGCAGGTAAGAGGACTGTTTGCTTCAAGTTTCTTCCCTTCTCTCAGGTAATAAAGCCAAATGACTGGAGGTGTTCACTCATCCCAAATTTAGGTTCAGCTGAGTAAGTGGTGGCACCTGCCAGGTCACGCTAACCAGACTGGGAGGCGAGGTGATGCTACCTTTCTTCCGTTTTGGCAGGTCTTCTCTTCTCTCCCTTTCCCATTGGTTTCAATGGGAGAGAAAATGCCTACACTCACTGCAGGCTGGCATAGGCAAGCAGCCCATCCTGGAGCCTCTTGGGGGAATGACAGGGCCATGGATTCAGAAGATCCAAGATTGTTTCAATCTGTGTGTCAGGGCCTACTGGTAGCAGAAACACCCTTCATGGTGGGTGGTCTTGCTCAAGAGAGCTCTTCTCTTCTGCTTCGTTCTGACCTCTCTAGCCAAGGAATCGAAGGATTAGAATTGCTCTGGAAATCACTTTGCACATATTCACTCACTAGAATGGCTTTTGTTTCCAGTGGTTGGCTGTCAAGGACTTTGAGTTCCTGAACAAGAAATGGTTCAGCAAAGGGTAAGTATCAGGAATAATAGGGGGTGGAAGGTTGCCTTGACTTGGTATGACTTGGGAACAGAGTAGGAATGGAGAGAACAGCAGCCAGGAGATGGGGAAGGGGACATTCTGAAGGTGCCAAACTCCAGGTCATCAAATCAAACCAATCCTGGCACTTGCGGAATATAAATAAGCCTGGCAATATCCCCCAGTAGCTAATGGGTGCTGTTTGCTCCAGAAAAAGGTACAAAGGGTACAAACTTTTGTGGACCATCCCATTACTGAACTCTCAGGATGGTTTAACAATACAAAATGTTATTTTTTTGAAACACAACATCCTAAAATTTAACAAATAATAAAGCCCCAATTAAAATAGTCAGGTCTTAAAACATTGGGAAAGTAAAAAGGATTTGGTCTGGCACCAAAAAGAACAAAGTGATGGCGCCAGGAGAACCTGGAGATCCACCAGCAGATCAAGGTGGAAAGTAGAGTGTTGGAGCAGAAGTATTTTTTGGCAGATCTAGCATGGCTTTTGTGGTATGGGGTAAAAGAAGTGCCCAGGGGATTGAACTTACTGAATTTTCCAGGATTCTTCTAATATGGTAAGAAGGTGTCAGCTAAAAACTACTCACTCCCAAGCCACAGATGTTGCTCCAATGAAAAGTACCGTATTTTTTGCTCTATAAGACGCACTTCCCCCCCTCAAAAGTAAGGTGAAATGTCTGTATGTCTTATAGACAAATGTGTGTGCGCCCAACGCCCGGGACGCTGCCGGCCCGCCTGCACCACATGGCACCACCTTACCGGCACGCGCTTGGTGTGCGCTGCTCCGCCCCCCCCTCCGGCGCAGGTGAGAGCTGTGCCGCTCAGGGGGAGCGGTGCGGAGGAGGAGGAGCCGTGGGCTTTAACCCCCCGGCCGCATGGAGAGATGGACTGCTTGCCCCCACCGCCTGGGAAGACCTGCCGCCGCCGCTGCTGCCGCACCGCCCGGAAGACCACCGCCGGCACACTGTCGGCCTGGCTGCACCACACCTGGCCGGCATGCGCTCGGCGCGCCCTGCTCCGCTCCCCTCCTCTGGCGCAGCTGAGAGCTGTTAATCACAGGTCGGTGTGTGTTTTCAAATGGCAACCCGTCTTTTAATGAAGCCCATGGGGAAGTGATGGGGAAAGTGCCTATGATTATCAGGAAGCTTTCCTTGGATCCCTCCTCTAAAAACTAGGTGCATCTTATAGAGCAAAAAATATGGTATATCCTTACCTGGAATGAGTCTTTGCGCTGTTAAATGAATCCACATTCCTTTCTATGGTTCTTGCTTTAGAGAACCCTGGTCAACCCTGATTCTCCACCCCTTAATTGCAAACCCCAAGGAGGTGATCTCCCCGCCACCATCTGGGCACTTGCCAGCATGGCTTCTTGGGAGGGGGCGGAGCACCAGCCAGCCACTATGGCAGTGCAAGGGTCAGGTTCAAGCCCTGACTCACGGGGACAAGTCAGGCTATTGCCCCAGCCACATCAGGGCCCTGACACTGGGGCTAAGCTCAGCAGCTAAGCTGAGCCCAGCACATCTGCTGCCCTTTCACCATTTCTCCCAAGTAGTAAAGGAAAAAATATCACCAGGGATTTCAGCACAATTCAGAGAGGGCAGAGAGATAGAGCAAGCAAGTAAGGCAAGGTCAAAGTCCGGTGATCATATGAAAGCTGCACATGTGGGCACTATCTGCAAGTAGGGTGGGGAGAGGGAGAGGGAGAGGGAGGGGAGAGGGATGGACGATTACAGCCACAGCTTGCATTTTTCCAGTTAGATATTTGTGTTTCCCAAACACGAATAGTTTAGCGCAGCGGTAGGCAACCTGTTGCCCTCCAGATATTTTGGTCTACAGTTCCCATCATCCCTGCCTGCTGGCTCTGCTGTCTGGGGCTTATGTAAGTGTAGTCCAAATTTTCTGGAGCGTACTGGCTGCCTATTCCTCCTCTCATGTATTTTTAATGAAACGTGTGCCTGTATTTTCACCCCATGACCTTGCATCATGTCTATTCTTCTTCTGTTGACATTTAAACTGTACGCTCCTCTGAAAAATGCCCTGCCCTTTGGATTAGGTTACTCTATGTGCAACAGTGACTCTAATACAAATAATGAATGGACGTGCCTAGCAATGTACACAATCATTAAAGACAGAAGTTCCTCTACACACTTCAGTCTCCATCAGTAGAGCTGAGAAACTCAGAGTAAGTTTTCAATATTAAGAAATACTTTATAATATTAGCATTGATTCAGTTCTAATTCTAAGCTTGATGGTGATCTGGTGGTTGAGGGGTGGGTGACAGCCACTCCCTTGTCATGGACAGATCACTTCCTTTTGAGGTTTGAACTCTCAGCTTCCTCTTCCCTCTGCAGGTGTGGGTGACCCAGTAAGTTGGTCTGCCCCTGGAGTCTAGTAGAAGCTGAGGGTCACCAGAAGACTCTGGGGGATTTTCTGGCTGGCATAGTAGGCACTCCTGCCTAAGCCTGGGTCTCTCTGTGGAATAAAGAGATGACCCGGGCAGTTGACATGATTGTCCCCAAGCACTTTCTCTCCCCTCACAGAGCCCAACCTGTTCCTTGATGAACATCTGAGCTGCGGGCAATGAAGCAAGGGGGAAAGAGCTCAGGTGGAGGAAAACTTGGGCTGAATTTGACACAGCTTAGTGCTCATTATTGAGCCTATACCATGGCAGTGAAGGTGACTAAAAAACACCCCTGTTCCACCTGTGTCACAGCCTCAGAGTGCTGTCCGGGTGCTTCAGGGCCTTCTACATTCTGTTCCCAAAAGAGAGATTGTTGAACCCTCAGTAGCCTGCTGTGATGAACTTGCACACAACATTGAGGACAAAATCTCTTGGATTAGCTCCGACTTGGACTCCACAGTTGCCCCAGTTCCATTGGCAGAGGCATCGAGGACACCACCTGATCCTGTTGTTGCAGTAACTGCAGCATGATGATGCGGACATGGTGCTTGGACAAGTCAAGCCCACTGCTTGCCCACTCAACCCTCGCTCATCATGGCTTACTGAAAGATCTAAGGAGGGGGTTCACACCTGTCCAGTACGCTGTCAACGCCTCCTTGAGAGAAGGAATGGTGCCAGCCCTTTAAAGGTGGATGAGATAGCACCACTCCTAAAGGAGCCAGGCCTGGGCCTGCTGTGATGAACCCGGGTATTGCAAACAACTTTAGAGCAAAAGCCAATATCCACATCCTGGGCAAGGTGACTGAGCGGGTGGTGGCTGGCAGCTCCAAGCACTTCCGGAGGAAACAGATTGTCTAGACCCATTCCAATTGGGTTTCTGGCCTGGGTTTGGGACAGAGATTGCCTTGGTTGCCCTGTGGGATGACCTTTTCCAGGAAAGAGACAGGGGGAGTGCAAGACCGTTGATTCTCCTGGACCCCTCAGTGCCTTTCAGAACCATGGACCACGGTATCCTTCCAGAACGGTTGTCTGGGCTGGGAGTTGGGGGCAATGCTCTGCAGTGATTCTGCTCCCACTAGGCTGACTGGTTCCAGATGGTGGCATGGGGTGACTGTCGCTCTGCGTCAAGGTGACTGTATCATTGGGTTCCACAGGGTTCAATTTTGTCCCCCATGCCTTTTAACATCAGCATGAAACTGCTGGATGAGGTCATCCAGAGGTGTGGGCTGAGGTGTCACCAGTATGCTGATGACACCCAGCTCTACCTTGCCTTTTCATCTGACCCAGGTAAGGCAGGGGCTGTCCTGGACCAGTGCCTGAACTCAGTAATGGGCTGGACGAGGGCCAGTAAACTGAATTTGAATCCAGGCAAGATGGAGGCATTGTTGGTGGGCACTCCCACACTCCAACTAGGAAATTTTCAACCTTCTCTGGAAGCGGTTGTACTCCCCCAAAGGATAAGGTTCATAGCTTAGGGGTTCTCCTCAATCCTGAGCTCTTCCTGGTCTCCCAGGTGGGCTCGGTGGCCAAGAGCACCTTCCTTCAGCTTCAGCTGATCTTTCAGCCATGTTCCTACTTGGATGAGTGGAGCCTTGCCACAGTGATCCACATGCAGATAACCTCTCACCTGGATTACTGTAATGGGCTCTGTGTGGGGCTACCATTGAAAATGGTCCGTACACTACAACTCACACAGAACAGGGCGGTCAGTGAGAACACATCATGCCAGTCCCCCATCAGCTGCACTGGCTCCTTGTTCTAGTCTGGGCCCAAGTTCTACCTGCCCACTTGCATCTTCCTCTGAAGTCCTCCTCTGAATAGTCCCCCAGTGAGATCAAGGGGGAAAGGGCTAGGAGGGGGACATTTTCTGCAGTGCCACCCAGACTCTTGAATTTGCTCCCAGGGATATACGGCTGGTATTGATGTCAGGTAAAAACATTTTTGTTGAAACAATTCTTTGATTAGCCTAATTTATATTTTGTTATTGATTATTTATTTTTGGCCATTAATTTATTGGCTGCATTTGGTCACACTGTGAATGGTTTTATATAATTTTTATTTTGTGAGATCATAGAATCATGGACTAGTAGAGTTGGAAGGGGCCATGAAGGCCATAGAGTCCAACCCCTTGCTGTTGCCACCACATATAGTTTAACACATACATAAGTTTATTGATGGTTTAACAATGTATTAATTTTATTGCTTTTATCTTTTTTACCTTTTATTGATGGTATTTATATAACAATCATATTTGCATGCTGTTTTCAGCAATTATAAGTCACCCAGAGAACCCTCGGGTTATGGGGTGGCATAGAAGTGGAATGAAATAAATAAATAAATGCCCAATTCTAAGTCTGATTTACATTCTCTCAAAAAGCATTATTCAGCGACAAACAAGAACGCCCTCCCTCTCTGCAATAAAAGAGTGCACCTTTTGAAAAACTTGCACTTTTGAAGGATGGAAAGAAGCCACTTTTTAGCGGGAAAGGGTTTCCTCACTATTATAACATCTCTACGATTTAGATAAGAAGTGAAGCATCGGTGATGCAATCTGAACCCTGCGGCCGGGCGCCAGCCACTCAAGGCCAGATGGCAGCAGCTTGCAGCAAGCCTGCAAGGGCTCAGCCCTCTCCACAGTCCATTCCCTCTCTTGCAAGGTCAACAGTCCCGACAATCACGGGTGCATGCTGTGCGCACACTCCAGCGGAGCGTCTCTCCCATGGGCCTCCGTCCCTGGATGGCCGCTGCATTGCACTGGCGTGCTTGCTGCCGTCAGCGGGTGCTGCTGCTACTTCAGCCAACAGTCCGCCAGGAAAAGTGCACAGGGGATGCCTGAAGTTTGTGTTCTGTAAGACCCAGTTCACACCTGACCAGCCATCCCTCACTGGCAAGGGATGGCTTCTATTTGTGAATACAAATAGCAGGCAACTGACAACTTCCTATCACCCCTGGTCAGCAAAAGCACAGTACTCAAACCTCAAGGGAGGCAGTTCACACATTGCACTCAGGATACAGTAATCTAATGATAAGAGATCCAGTGATGTCCGTGCAAGATAAAGACAAGTCCTTATAAGAATTCATTTCCTAGATCGTAGACAAACTCTATCTTTCCGGAAGTGCAAGAGGGAAACACTTACTGTACAGTTATACCACTCGATAAAGATATTCTAAAAGGTATATATAGTACATTTCTCATGGCTGGCTGCTTCTCAGCAAATACCTGGATTCATCTGCAACTTGAATCCTACTGGTATCAGCCTAACTGTCAGTAACGGAATTCGTATAATATCAGAAACTTCCTGCTTTAGTCTGAATGGCAGCAGTTGTAGCTGAGCAAACAGCCTCCTTTTTAAAAACATTCCTCCCAGTTTGAAGAGGGACAGCTCTGTCAGGCAATGGCAGAAAACAAAACCAGGGGCATATTTTTTCATAATAACTCCCTCTACTCAGGGAGCTACAGGTCTGTGCTCAGGAAGGCAGAGCTTCCTTAACAGAAAATTAAGCTACAACTTCCAGGCTTGTTCGGAGGATCTGGCAGTTGAACTGGCATCAATGCAATATACTTTTGCAGTGTAAATACATCCCAAGAGTCCTTTGGTCTGTTTTAGCAATTAATTAATTGACGGAAAGATCATCTTTCACCCTGAAGCAAGTCTAAGGGCACCATCCTGCTGGTTGCACCATCAGTGATCATATGTCCCTGAACTTGGAGGGCAGAAGGGCTGGCAGAGGCAATCTTTGCCTCCCTGTCCTCCCATCCTGCGCTTTTTGTTGGTCTAGCAAATATGTTTAGAGGGGGAAGGAAGGAGGGGAAGCGATGCAGGTGTCATATCCTGGCTTCTCCAGTCTCCACCCCTCCTCACCCACTGAAACCTTCCTTTTCCTTCTCTCTGAAGCTGATTCCCCAACCGTGGAGGGCAACTGGCACAGGCTGCTCCAGACTTGCTGCACTGGGGGGAGGGGGAGGCAGCTCTCCAATTCTCCCCTCCCAGGTTACAGCCCTGTTTCTGACCTCAGAGCTAGGAACCAAACTACGCTATGGCTGCTCAGAGCTACAGGATGGCTCCCTCCAGCTCCAACTGTAGCCATGCATGCATGGAACTGGAAGTGTGTTT